CTTTATCCAGGATCTCCTACATAGATCTCCCTCTGAGTGGTTGACAGTGGTAGCTGGGCACCATCTGGTTCTTCTGGTCTCATAATCGTATAGGCTGAGGATCGCAGGGTGTACCAGTTTCTTGGACTAATTCTTTCCATGCATCTTTGGTTTTCTTCATTCCTCTTTGCTCTGGATAAGGGGAGACCCATCATTGCATCTGGATAGCTGCTTGCAAGCTTTTAAGATTGCAGTCGCTACTCACCAAAGTAAGAGGTGGAACAGTGTTTTGTGTAGTATGTTATGCCAGTTGAGCTTGAGGTCCCCTGTGACTATGGTCCTGAGCCCACAGGTCCAAATACTCGTTCCCTCTGAGTAGCTGGCTGTGACCAAGAAGTGACTAAACCCTGTCCCTTGTTAGCTCTACTATATACCTGCAAATTCTTACACAACTTACAAATACACTTGTAGATACATTGTCTGCCAACTCTATACATGGCCACGGGCACACTCCCCCCTTGCCTAGACATACCTGATGGTTCAGCCTGTCCATTCATCTATCCAAGTGGTGGCTTCTTGATGGCTGCTTGTTAATCTGCTGCTTTTTGTAACTGCTGATCTCCTCATTCCCTGGTCATTTGCCCAGGGTTACGAGGCTGTTTCAGGTTGGCTGTAAAGCTTGCTCAGTAGAAAAAGCCCAGTGAAGGCTGTGGTAGTTCTAGCTGGCAGGGCAGAGGCCACTGGGGAGAAGCTTATGTTGAGCCAGTAGTTGGTTTCCATTGCAGCAAAAACCCTGGAGTCTGACTCCCAAGTCCCGCCCTGCCACCGCTGGGTTGTGATGCTGAGAAGATCATGTGACTTGTGTTCACCTGTAACAGTCTTCCTTTAAGTTCTCTCCTCTCTACTGTTTCTCAAGCAACTATTCTTTCCATTGTCATGGTTCTATTTTTTTAATGATTTATTTTATTTTATTTTTTTGTTGAGAGTATACACAGAAGAACACATACCAGTTCAGCAGTTTCGACGTGTGCAATTCAGTGATGTTGATTACATTCAAATTATGCCACTATTCTCACCCTGCTTTTTGGAGTTGTTCCACCCCTATTTGTGATTCCTTTTTTTAAAATTTATCACAGAGAACTATGTAGTAGGTACAAGGGTGGTGTCTATTGTTGCAGCATTCTTCTTTTTTTTAAAATATTTTTTTATTTTTATTTTTATTGTGATTTGGGTGAAAATTTACAGAGCAAATACACTTTCCATACAGCAGATCACATACACTTTGTCTCATGACATTAACCACAATTTAGCACAGTGCAACATCTCCTCTCCCAGTTCCTCCCGATAGGTACCGCTTCCCTGTGTCCATCCCT